CTTGCAAGTCTCTCATTCGTTCATTATACTGTACATCTTTTTTTTTTTTCTTTGTTTATTGTTTTTTTGGTGACCAGACTTCCTGGAAGTGAAATCAAAGTGGAAAGCAGAAAAATGAAACCAAATGATCAGATGGTTCTTTCTCCTTTTATGACCAGGTGTTTGGTGACACAAATGTTTGCAGTTGTGCAAAGGTGCCACTAGAAAATTTGTGCAGTGAAACTCAGACAGGTGGAAAGACTCAGGTAGGTGAAGGCAAGATGGAGTTCCAGGAGAAAGGAGGAAAAATGAAGAGCATGTATTGGCAAAAGCCCCTCTGGTTCAAGTGCAAAACATAAATCTCATTTATTACTCAATAACAGGGGATGTAGGCTGTAGCAATTCCTTGTTGATTACCGGAACATCATGTATGTTTCCTGTAGGAGCCTGTGAATAAGTGTGTGTGCACAGGGCGTGTGAGGGGCGTTAGTCTCTGCAGCATCTTGGTCACCTAGGAATCTGAGTGGCAGCTAGGTTGCTCTCCCTCCTCAGACAGGGGCACGTAGGAACCTAGCACCTAGAAACCCACATCTTTTGTACAGGGCTGCCTCTAGTTGGAAGGCTCCATGAAAGCTTCTCTTTGCACCCGCCTGCAGACACTCAGACTGGTGCTCATCTGCACAGGTGACTGCAGAAATCTGGGCTCATGTCCCAGCTGTGCCACAGACTGGCTGTGTGGCTGTGGCTGAGTCTTTTTCTTAAACTCTCAAAGGTTTGCTTTCCTTTCAAGAGTGAAAGTGTGAGTATTGATGGGAAGTGATCCATAGCATTTAGGAGTATTTCGTGCAATGGTATATGAGAAGAACTTTTCACATTGCCTGGTCTTAGTAATATAGATGACCAGGATCAAAAACACCAGGCTGACTCTCCTTCCAGCCCTGTCCTGCACCAGGGTGTGAATGCACCCATGAACCACTACTTTGTAAACACACACCTCACACACCATGTCAGGTCCCAACTATGCAGCCCAACTGTGACTTTGTGGCTGAGTTGCGCTGGGATGCTCTGATGCAGAAAGAAGGATGCTGCTCCCATGTTTGATGAACATGTTTGAAAGAAGCCTTTGAGGACAGAGAAGCCTTCTTAGCCTTTCCACAGTTGTCAGTACAGAGCCTAAAAAATGGTGTTGAAGATCTATGAAAAGGAAACGCTCAAATTCAAAAGGTCAGCAAGAGAGGTTAGAACGGATGTACCCCAGGGGGAAATAGGGAAATGAGATGATAAGAGGCCTTTGAGCTATATTTGGCATGACCTTGCTGCTTCAGAATGTTCCACCATGAAGAATGAAGCAGACAGGAAGGAACAGTGCTAAAGCCTTGTCTTAGGCTTGTGCAGCGTGGCTTGCTTCTCTCCCCTTCACACCCAGCGGAGCCTGAAAGCCTCAGTGCCTCCCCGCCTCTGTCTGGCTCCCTGCCTTGTCAGTTTTCTCTGTGAAAACCCAGCAATACCTACAGAAAGTCTGGAACCGTGCTCTTAAGGGACTTGCATCCAGTCAGGATCCTTTTATTCTCATTCTAAATCAAGTGCCCAGTGGCTTCCACCCCCACACCCCATCCCCCAAGAAGCTGGGCCCCTGGATTCCACAGCAGATACCCGTGGCTACAGTTCTCAGTACATCAGTGCACTAATGCATACAACATGAAGCACGGTAAACCTCTTTGTGCTGCCCAGGTAGTGGAAGTCACCAGAGTTCTGCAGTGAAACAGAAATGGGGAGAGTTTTGTGAGGCCCGCATGCCTGTCCTGCATTTCGAAGGGCACGCTGGGGTTTTTCCATAGCCCCATGGGAAGGCCCCCTGTTGTTTGATGTAGGTCTATCCTGAAGATAAAAATGTAGGCTTCCGCCATCCCATCTTAGTCATGCATCCTACAGAAATGCACCACACTACCACAGGAGACAGTCTTCTCCCTTCAGCTCCTGCGTTAACACTGCCTGTCCTAAACCCCTTTCTGCTTAAGGTGGCAAGGCTGTGGAGCAGAAAGGAGAAGGGTTCAATTATAGTTTTCTCACTACTGATCTTAGATGAATAGTACCTCAAAAAGGTGGGGACACGGGGACAGTGACATGTAGTCCTATGTGTAAGCTGCCTCGGAGAGCAGAACTGGAGTCATTTAATATCTGCCCCTCCCTACCCCCCGCATCTGCCTCCTCTTATATCTAAACGCCATCCTGCCAATAATAACTCCTTCTCCTCAGTACTACACAAAATATATTCCCTTTATCACCAATGGATTTGGCCCTTTGCCTCATCCCTGTCCACTAGCCCAGTAATGCTCAGGCCGGCAGGCATCAGTATTTGTCTCAAGGTGACACTTGTAATGGATGATGGCTGCACTTCTGAATCCATTTATGTAATCCTTCCTGCTTTGCTTGCAGTTATTTTCAGGACTTTAGCAGCAATAAAATGGTTCCTTTCTCAAGACAGAGTTCATTCAATTTAAATCTGGATTGATTATAGCTAAACTTATAGCATGCCTTTATACAGGAGGGGGAAAAAAACAGCAATGAATTATGCAGAGTAATTATTTAGCATTTATTCAGCTTCCACAGCATCCTGGACTCGGCACATACTACTAGTTGGGGAAATAACCCTGCCCTTGAGACTCAAGAATAGTCACCCTGTCTTGAGCAGGAGAGCAACTCGGTGCCACTTAGTGACCACTCGGCCATTCTTTCAGCAGGGGTCATGGGATTGGAGACTCTTCACCCAGTCTTGCTGTCTTTGCCTCTGCTTTCCCTAAGGTGCATTCTCTTGACAGTGATCTTGACCTTTGGCCTCTGTCCAGAGGAGTCCTCCTTGCTGCTCCCCAATGAGTTTTGATTTGAAATTTATCTCAAATTTTTATCCAGGGGAGACCTGGAGATACCTACTAATATTATAGGCTTCCTCCTGGGTGGCCTGAGGGGACCAAAAGGGGACTGGACAACAGGTCACACAGGTGCAAATAGCAGACTTGCTTCTAATTGCCCTCTAGGAGAAGCCAGTCTCCTTTGTGCTCACGACCAGAAGGTTTGAATGCCAAGTGAATGAGTGATTAGATGCATTTTGAGAGCCCTAATTAAAATGTAATCTGTGTAATGCAATAATACACATTTAATTGAGTAAATATTTCTAACTTAAATGTGAAAATTTAAAGTGATGCTCTTAACTCATACAAGTACTGCTAAAACCGCCCCTTGTAATCATTTATATAGTGTAATGGCCAAAGAGAAAAATAGAGGAGAAAGACCTGAATTTCTTTTTCTTTTGCTTTTTCACCATTGGATTTTAAAAAGAAAAATGAATGAAAAAGAAAAATAAATCAAGATGAATAATAACCCACATTAACTAAATGCCAGACATACTGCAATCAGTTTTTCAAACAGTGCTGTAAAAGAGGCAAAGTTAAACTCATCACATTTTTGTAGCTTAGGAGCAGAAGTTTTAGAGTTGCTGAATATGGCCCTCCCTGGTGGCAAAACAGGTTAAATTGCAGCACTGTGAAGCCGACTGCAGCCACTGAAGCATGAGTTGGATCCCTGGCCAGGAAGGTGACCCACATGGCACAGCAGACATCACCTGTCCTGCCTGCTGCTCCCCTCAGGGGTGTATTTCTGGTAGCTCTGCCTGTCTGTTCCCTGCTTTGTCTCTGGTGAATCGTCTCACATCCTGCACTCTAGGCGGTACCCCAGTTCTTGTATGCAAAAATAAGTAAATCTTGGCCCTCCCTGATGGCGCAGCAGGTTAAAGCACAGCACTGAGAAGCTAAAGCCACTTCCGCATGAGTTCAATTCACGCCAGCCCTGGAGGTGACCACATGGCGTGGCAGACCTCTCCTGACCCGCTAGCTGCTCCCCTCAGCAGTGGACTTCGTCGATCTGCCTGTTCTGTTCCCCACTCTGTCTCTGGTGAAGCCACTCACACCCCTGAGCCTCTGGCCTGTACCCCAGTTCTGTATGCACAAATAAATAAATCTTAAAAAAAAAAAAAGAATCTTAAAAAAACATCTGGGCCCTCCCTAGTGGCGCAGCGGGTTAAAGCACTGCACTAAGAAGCTAAAACCACTTCAGCATGAGTTCGATCCCCGCCTTCCCCAGAGGAGATCCACATGGTGCGGCAGACCTCTCCTGACCCATCCTCTGCTCCCCTCAGCAGTATACTTTGTCCATCTGCCTGTTCTGCTCCCCATTCTGTCTCTGGTGAAACCTCTCGCCGCCCCTGAGCCTCTGGCCTGTACCCCAGTTCTATATGCACAAATAAATAAATCTTTTTTTAAAAATCTGCTGAACTTTCCAACTAAACAGAGGCAAATCCAAAAAACGGCAGCTGAGCCTTGCTGCAAAGCCAAGCATATAACTGCTGTAACTGTCCTGCCTGCACAGATAGTTCAGACTCACAATTCCCAAATCCCAGTTCTTTTGACATTTCAGTTCACCTTGGATTGAAAATGAAGCCCAAACCTTTTTCTTTCTCACATTTACTTGTAAAAAGCTATTATCAGTTAAATATGTTTGAGTGATTGTCTCTAATGTTAACCCAATCTAATTCAAATTTTATTTAGGAAATGGATGAGAGTCCAGATTTTTTAGAATCACGCAGCAATTTATTTTTTTTTTAAGGTAAAGGCAATTATTTTAAATTACTAAATATTTCATTTTCATTCTGTAGACTGAAAATGGTTTTGGTTTGTTTTTTTTTTTGTATTGTAAAAAGGTATAAAGACAAGGAAATTTGAGCCAATATATAGATTTGACTGTTTTGGGTTCTTTTGTTTTTGTTTTCATTTTGCTATTGTTTATTTTTGAGAGGCAAATAGCATTAAACACCTTTGGTGTTTGGGGTAGTAACTTGAGAGTTCAAGACAGTCAGCCTGGACTAAGGTTGGCCTCAAAGAATCTTCCTACCTCACTCCCCTCAAATACACGCTGAATGTTTTTACAATTATGGATTCACTCACACAGAGTGTGTGTGTTTCTTACAGTTGACCTGGACCGGCTCAATGATGATGTCAAACGTTACAGCTGCACTCCCAGGAATTACTCTGTCAACTTGAGAGAGGAGCTGAGGCTGTCCAACGTGGTCTTCTTTCCACGTTGTCTCCTCGTGCAGCGCTGTGGAGGCAACTGTGGCTGTGGGACTGTCAACTGGAAGTCCTGCACGTGCAATTCAGGAAAAACTGTGAAAAAGTACCATGAGGTATGTATGTTATCATCAGATTTCTGTAGCAGTGCTACATTTAGCCCTTTTCAGCTGCAAAAATCCTGTCATCTGTAAGATGTTGAAAGATTTAGCTGCTGCATACAGTTGTTCAGGTTGTTCAGTGCACAAGGGGATCCAGCCAGGTGATGATTGGCAGCTAAAATTATACTCATGCTAAACTCAGTCAAGCCAAGTGTTAGGGAAGGGGCTGAGTGTTTCCTGAGGCACTCTTTTTCTAGTCCCCATTGTACAACTATGAGTCAATATTAATCTTAGCTCTTATTTGACCTCTTTGTAAAATTATGATGGTATTCCCATATGGAATATGGAAGCATACATAGATAGATAGATAGATAGATAGATAGATAGATAGATAGATAGATAGATAGATAGATAGATAGATAGATACAGATATAGATTACATATCGATATATCGCAGAATATGACTGCAAAACCCAGATTGCTTTAAGAAAATGCTAAGAAACAAGTTTACGTCAAGTCATTTAAAAAATTAAGCAGATGGGGCTCTCCCTGGTGGTGCAACGAATTAAAGCACTGCATTATGAAGCTCTCTGAAGCCACTGCAGCACAAGTTTGATCCCTGGCCAGGGAGGTTACCCACATGGCAATACAGACCTCTCCTGTCCCACCTGCTGCTCCCCTCAGCATTGTGTTTCAGTAGATCTTCCTGTTCTGCTCCCCTCTCTCTCTCTCTGGTGAATCCTCTCACCTACCACCCCTCTGGCCTGTACCCCAGTTCTGTAAGCATAAATAAATAAATCTTTTTTTAAAATGTAATAGAATGAAGGTAACAAACTATAACTTGTCAGAGAATATCCATTTTTGGAGATTTCTTCCACTCTAGACATGAAATCATTTTTCTTCAAGGATATGTTCCAAAACTCAGTCCTACCTGAAAAATGAGCTCTCAAAATATGTAACAATAAACAAACAAACAAAAAACATACAAAGCTCTAAGAGGAGTAAACTTTAAGGAGAGAGTTTACTAATGATAATAGCAAACATGAGCCTTTCCTGAGTCCCAGATCTATTGGAAGTCATTACTAGTTCACTTAGCAGTTTCTCAATGGGGCTGTAAGGGGAAGGGTGCTATTTTTACTTTCTTTTTATAGGTGAGTAAATTGAGGCCTAAGAGGATCAGTAAGTGGACCACTGAGACACAATCAATAAATCACAGAGCCAGGACTTAAACACTGATCAACTGGTCCCCAAGTCTGTGTTCTTATCATTAGATCATCAGGATCTAATTTCACTGATAGAGCACTTCAAAGATAGAGCACTTCACTGAGCATTAAAGGAAATGTGGACTTCGTGCCTTTGCTTTCTGTTGCTGGGAGCATTTGCAAAGCACCAGGGTTATGACACTCAGTCTTCCACATGTGAAAGGGGACTGAGAGAGGATGGCAAGTAACCCCTTACAGGGTACTTCTGGGGACCAAATAAAATAGTGCCTGTGAAAGGCATTTTGTAAAATGTAAGACAATATCCAGAAATAAGTTTTAAACTATAAACTAAGTGATAAAGCTAACTTTATTAGGAATCACTGTTGTTTTACATCAGTAGCCACCAAAATAGAGTTAAAGTGGTTCTCCTGAAATAAAATTTCCAGCTTTGAAGACCATTCTTTTTTCATTCCTGAAAACAATTAAACAAGAATAATGAGTTAGGAGGTGGCCCCTGAGCTCTAAATAACAAGAGATACGTCATAGCTGGTATTTTCAACTTGGAATTGTAGGAAGCCATGGCTAACCTTAGGTGGGGGGCACATTATTTTAGACCAACGTAACTTACATTTTCTTAGTAAGAAGGATATCTTACTCCACCCCACCATTTCCAAAGGGGGGAAAATGTTGTCATACCCGGAGAATGCGGTTGCGTGTGTTCATTGTGTGTTGTTTTTTTCAGTGACCCAATGAACTCCAGTTTGGACTCTGGCCTGCACATCTCAGAACCTGAGTTGTGTGACCTTAGTCAAACCCTGAGTCTCAAAGCAGAATGCGGTAACAATCAGGTTAGAGTTAAAATAACCTCTAAGCAGCAGGGTCTCTGGCCTTAAGAGTGACAAATTACATGACATTCACGCTGAGGCCTTGAATGTATTTAGTTTATTTTCCTCTTGCCTGGACACAGATAGCTGACTGTGGAAATGGTAGGGTTAAACTTACGCCCCCTTCCCCCCCTCCCCCAGGGTTCTTTCCTTTACCAGATAGTTAATTCTGAAGACCTCCTAAGGACCCTTCCAATAGTTCCTTACTTTTTCATTCACAGTAGCTGTTTCTGTAAACTTCTATTGCAGATGAATACCTACAAGGGGAAGATCTCATCTCTCTGTTCAGTCACTTGAGTCAGACTAACATGTTTTCTCTTTTGGAAACTGCTGTCTAAAGCATCTCTTTGAAACATGTGTCATAACACTTTTGCTGCTAGGTGTCTGCACAGCTTTATACAAAATCACTGGGCCAAGTGCAGGACAAAAGTCCCAAGCCACATCCAGAGCCTGGTCAATCAATCATCCGTCACGTTTCCCGAGACCCTAAAAGATCTTAAAATGTGTCATTGTCATCCTTCTGCAGGTGCCCTCGGGAAGAGCAAGGGGCTTGTTCCACTCCCAGAAATTGGGGTTCTTCATGCTCTAGCTCACCAGGGAAAAATCCTCATCCTCTACTTAGGCCTGTGTCTGTATTATTCTCAATATTATGTATATACAATATGCCCTTGACACTAGTAATAATAGCTAGAATTTCTCTAAGGCACAGAGGGTTGAAAGTTAATAGCTTATGATAAAAGCTTTAAACTAACCTTTCTTTAAATTTAATTTTGTTCATTTACCATACATATGTTTACGTAACTCTAAATTTGGGGGCACAGCTTCACCCTTTGTTAATTTCCCGTGCTTCACCCTTCCCCAGAGCTCCGCACCACACCACTGTCACCTCATCTGCGCTCATCTCTGTGCCTTTGTTCCCACCTTAGGGAAACAAGATACAGATTCCCAGTTCCTGGTCACTACTGATAAGAGTGAAGGGAGTTTTTAGGAGACATGTTGCCCTTAAAAGCTTGTGTGACTGTCCACGAACATTTCATTGTAGAAGGAATAAAATATGCAAAATTATAAAACTCCTGGTGAAGCGGGTATTATTATTTTTTGCTTAGACCAAGGGATTCTTCTGGAGGAACATGAACACTCTTCACTTGCCGTACATTGTTCCCAACTCTTTTATTCCTGTTCTCAAAAGTTTGTTGGCATCCTGCTCACAGCCTTTTTTCTTACAACCATTCCTTGCCGCTTGGAATATATTGCATATATAAACAATACTTTGGGTAATGATTTTTTAAAGGAAAGTTTCCAAATAGCATACTCTGTAGCTGAGGAGAGAATGCTTTTATTTCAGCTCTCAACTTCTCTTGAAAATGCACAATGAAGTAACAGCCTGTTCTCCAGAATTCTGGTGACTTTTTAAATTAACCCTTGATTAATGGGTTTCATCATCAGAGCCTTGATTGTGTCTATTCAGTCAACAGCCAAATATTTAGGGAGTTGCAGAGAAAGAAAGAAGTTAATTTTCTGTGTCTTTACTGTCATGTGTCACACTGCTGGCATTGCCACCTTTAGTTTCTGGAACTTTTTGCAGTGATAAGAATATTCTACATAAGAGAAAAAGGAACTTTCCTGCACTGCTGGTGGGAATGCAAACTAGTACAACCATTATGGAAAACTGTTTGGAGGTTTCTCAAACTGCTAAAAATGTAACTTCCATATGACCCAGCAATCCCACTCCTAGGTATCTGCCCAAAGGATACAAAAAAACTCATTCAAAAACACACCTGTACCCTGTGTTTATTGCTGGTTTATTTACAATGAGAAAGACATGCAATCAACTGAAATGCCCAAAAGCCAGGGGAGAAAATAATAATAATGAACAACTATATACCAGAGACATTTTAAATGGGGGTGGAGTGGGGAATGGGACCAAAAATGGGGGAAGAGGGGAAGTACACTGGACTATGGTGATGGCACATGGGTGAATTGGTGATGGAAAGCCCACAGGGATTACAACTGAGATGGAAAAATGTAAAAAATGATGGAAAAATAAACTATTATATTACTTAAAAAGAATGTTCTACATCTACACTGTCCAGGACAGTAGCTCACTAACAACCTATGGTCCTGGGGCACATTAAATTGTGATGCAAAGGAGAAACTACACTGTTAATTCAAATTAAATTTGACTAATTTAAGTATGTGGTTATACATGGCTAGTGATTACCAGGTTGAGCAGTGCCAGCCTGGCCCATCTCTGCTCTGGCACATGCACAACATCTAATCATTCCTGAGAAAATTACTGTAGAGGCTTTTTGAATTTTTTATCTAGAAATTAATTTTTTAAATGTGCTATCTACTAGAGTTTAAAAATGAAAGCTATAAGTAGGTATTTGTATGTGAAACAAAGGTTCAATCCAGGTAAGAAATGTTGAACGTCTCGATAGGGGACAGCCCAGAAAATTTTACAGTGTGGCCTCATAACAAAAGTCAAGAATATGACTTCTCTGCTCTTTTCCTGGAACAGGAAAAGATAGCATTTCTACACTTTGTGTAGGTTCCCCATTTTTTTTTCCTTCCCTCACTCTTTGAGGGACACTGTGGTGCACTCTGCTGACGTCCTTTCTTGCATATTCTTATGAGAGACAGGACAATAGGGGGAACATGACTCAAGCAGAAAGGAGACTTTGGATTTTCTACCATGTGGGAAGCCAGCCTCCAAATTCCTCCCAGGCTGCTTCACTCTATAGGTTTCTTCACCTATAATTTTGATTGCCAGACAAACCTGAATTCCCTGGCATCTAGGTACTGGTACACTCTATCCACCCTCCACAAGTCTTATTTCCCTGAAATTGTATAAAGACTATAAACAAATGGGCGGCATGCTCGGTAAATGAGAAGAGAGATGTGACCTGGAACGATGAATGTTTAGAGAGTGCTTATGACAGGTTGACTCCATGAAGGAAAGTTCTACAGATTGTAAGGCACAGAACAGATGTGGGAGGGTCTGGCTTGCTCAGGTCTGATTTCCTTCCAGCACTGATGACTCACTGACCTGTAAACTGTTCCCGAGGTAGGGATGAGAAATGCTTCCCTCCTCAGTCTAGACCTCCTCAGTCTAGTTTAGCAGACCTGTCTTGGGGAAAGACTTCCCTCAGGTTGACCACAGGTGTCTGCATCCTGCGTGTGCCCAGTGCTAGTGCTCTCCATTCTCTGAAGTTCTGTGCCCAGCTATGCTTCCATTCTGTTCTCTGCAATGGGTAGGCAGAAAATGTGGTCCTCCATCCTCTAGGCTGCTGTTGAAATTATTTGACTCTTTCGTCCCATAAAGGTAGGACTGTAGTTTAACGCTCCCAGAGCACTCACACTAAACTTCTGTTAGAGGAGCTGGTCACTGACACCATGATGCATTTTCAAAATTCCTGACAGTTTTATAGATAGATTCTCTCTAAAACCTCAGCCTTTGGTCAACCTCACACTTAACTCACCAGTGAAATATTGCTGAACCCTTTGACCTCTGAATTTCCTCATGGAGTGCAGATCTCGTTGCAGGGTACCAGCCTTCTGTGGTAGAGCCCAGCCTCTGCTACCACGATCCTCTGCAATTGAGCAATGACCCAGGTAGAAAATAATATATGAACCCTTCTCAAAGTGGTTTAGCTTGTAGCGATTTAAGTTACAGAAAATTTAAGCTACCCAACCTTATATATATTAAGTCTATACACATTTGTCATGACATCTATCAGCCTGAAAGTCATCAAAATGGAACAAAAACATGAAGTGTTTTCTTCCTCAAAAAACTGTCTATGTAGTGAATGCTGCTTGATTTAGAAGTTGGGTAGAACCTTAAATAAACTCTTAATGATTCAGGTTTATGTAATGTATTTGTCCTGAAATATGTACTCATGTGCCTATGTCAGCTATTCATTTGGGAACTGTTACAAGGCCATAACAACCTTTTTTATATTCCCAATAAATGAGAGTCCAACTCAGCAGATAGCTTTTCTGCCTGGTATTGTTTTATTAGTGGAACAGCTTTATGCAATGATTCATTCCATGCTTTATTAGCAACAAGGCTCGGCGCTGTAGTTAAATATCTGTTGTGATCTAATAATTTGCAAACTGAGCAGCTTTGATTTTGTGTCATGGTGTGAAAACCTCCATTAGACTCAGTCATTCTCCATTTACTAAAAGTCGACTTAGGCTGGCTTCATGTGGTTTTTCAGGTAATAGATATGAGCTAGGATTTCCATTTTCACTCATAGGTGATAAGCCATAGCCGGCTGCTCCTCTGTGAACTTGTATTTCAGAGTGTGCTGCCTGGAGTGATGGCTCAGAAAATAGGAAAGTATTTTGTGATGGCACCTGTTAGCCAGTGTCCTTCAGCAGAGTCATTAATTCAATGGTTCCTTCCCTTTAAAGGTGACGTGATAACTCAGCCAGTTTGCTTTTCCAGATAAAAGCTCTTCATTTTTCTTTTTGCTTTCTGTGCTCCCATGAATAAACTTTGCTTTCTTCCTCCATTCTATGCTGTGTACCTGAATCTAAGACTATTACATGGTCTGAAAACTTTTGAACATCAGTGCTGTGATCAGCCAGCAAAGCAGTCAGTTTCTACGTTGTTTAAACAGCACTTTCCTGTCTTGTCTGGGAAAACGTCTGCCAGTTCATTTTCTCCTGTTATCAGTAGAACACTTATAAACTGTACTCACATTGCTTAATATGAAATACAGGGAAAATCCCTGAGCAATCCGGAAACCAATGAGAAAAAATGCCCACGCTCAGCTCTCATCCCAATACACACATTTTTGTTTGCCATCAAATGAGAAAGCACATTAACAGCACAGAGTTTGCAGGTGCCATTCATCATAATGCATAAGACTTTGATAACAGGCTTCTTTAAACAGAGAATATTTACCATCTACTCAGCTTCATAGAAATCCTTTCCTTCTCCTGCCTCTGCAACCCCCACATCTGGTTTATGTGCAGAGAGTTTTGAATAATAGAGATGAATTCATCTTGGGTAAATTCATGGTGAAATTGTAGGAGTACAGCCCCCAGCCTCTTTCAAAACACTGACCAAAGGTAGCACAGGGGGACATTTGCATCTATCAAAATACTCCAAGATGTGACACCTTCTCCAAGCATTGCTTTATTTTAGTGTGTTTTTTCATGGAGACATGAACCCCAAAACATAAACAATTAAAATGACTGTATGTATATACCGTATGTGAAAACTAGTTTATAATCTTCCGAGTATTTGTGCAGGTATTGACTAATATTTAATGCCAGTTAATACCACACCAGGGAAGAACAGTTAACTTCTATTTAAAATTACTAAAAAATGTATTTTAACTTACTAATTTTAATAAATTAAGGATATACTTATCAATTTAATAAATACTAAATGAACACACAGGTAGTAATGTTAAAGGAGCCCTGACAAGTTTTGAATTGTAAAAGGCTTTATTTATCTCTTAACAGATATGTAAGGACATAAACACATTTTCATTTACTTATGACTTTCATAGGCTGTATTGACATATTATTTATGTCCATTACTTTATTCATTGTCCTATCTATAGTGGTAATAATATATATGTTCAATATTATATTTATCAACATGTGCTTTGGTCAAGAAGAATCTCTGAAAGGAGCATTGGAACAATACCAGGTACAAAGCAGGCCCCCATGAAGGCCTTCCTCCATGCCTGCTAGGCTCCAGAGACCATTTGGGTCATGCAGGCAAGTTTTGTGGGGGGCTCACTCTGATCAGCAGACCCCCTCCACTTTGAGGAGTTGATAGTTATTTTTTAAACTATGTACATATGTGCATTTTTGTAGCAAGTTCTTAGCTCTCCTTGGCTCCTCAAAGGATTACTAATCAGTTTTCATACAGAAAAGAAGTGCTATTTGGTTGAGTCAAGTCCAAGGGCTTTCTAATGCAAAATATACTTCTTGTCCTAGGTGCTGAAGTTCGAACCTGGCCATTTCAAGAGAAGAAGCAGAACAAATAAGCACATGGCTCTCATTGACATCCAGCTGGATCACCATGAGCGGTGCGATTGCATCTGCAGCTCAAGGCCCCCTCGATAAAAGAATGTGCATACACTCATATTAAGCATGAACAAAATGTTAGTTCAAAGGAGGGTGTGGTAAGAGACCCTTTCCCCACCAGCAGCCAAACTTCCTACTAGCCTCCAGAACAATGAATACAAGCGTTGCTGAGCGCCAACTAGCTTTGTTAGTGCCAGGCAAGTAGAAAGGTATGTCATCAACTTCTATATCCAAGGGTATAGGATTGCATTTAATAATAGTGGCTGAGGGTATGTGTATAAATATATGCTTATCTGTGTCTATGTGTACATAGAGCAGATGGCTTCTTCCGTATATGTAACCAGGTACACCAAAGCTTACAGATGGGTGAGTTATGCAGACTCTTAAAATCTTTTGACAAAATAAGGGATATGCTAAATACAGAAAATATGTCTTTAGCGGCTTGGGAAGAGGAATTTGTTTATTTTTTAGTTTTGAATCACAACATATGTTTGAATCTTGTTCTTGCAACATAAGAACCTTGTGTATTAAAAATCAGTAGTTAATTTTTTTCTTCTGTATGCATCTGAAGTGATTATAAGAAAGGCTTATGAAAAAAAGGTTTTGGGGAAAATAGGCAAAGCCTATGCACTTTTCCCATGAGATACACTACATACTTACCTATGTAGACAATAATCACCTGTCACCAAAATTTGCCATACTAATCTAGGTGCTTGAGAAATTGTCTTCTTTTTAATGATTTTTTGTTCAGGCATGCTAGTTCATTTAACACCTATCTAAAAAAACATTCTCAGAAAGTTTATTGTAATAATCCTGCAAGAGACATTCTGTAAGCTGTAGCAGAATATTGAATTGTTTCTTTTCCAAAACAAATCCTTTGAAGGATGGCATGGGGACTCGATGTGACCATGGTGTCATTGAAAGATTGAGCAGTTGAAAGTCCAAAAGGTGAGCATCAACATAACCAGAAATTGGGTGGAATCTTTAATAAGTTCCGTACTTAATAATGAATTCAGACTCTCCACACTGTGCCAGTTAATTTTATGCATCTTGCTTTTGTTTTCCTGTCTCTTCACTAGACAGGCATGGATTTACATGGCATTTTGTATTTGGCAGGTCATCATGGATTATTTATAGCCTAAAAACTTTTGTATATTGAAACAATGTAATTTCATTGATGTAAATCTCTAGTCATGTACTTACCATTCTGAATTCCTATTTCTGAACTGTATGAAAACAGATCTGGGGTCTCTGGTTCTTTCAAAATCTGCAGACCTTGTTCTATGATAGCATGCAAACAAATAGGGTCTTTGACCTTGCTCTATAATTACAAAACTGTTTTTGCATTGTGGTTATTACTGGTGTTTAGAATAAGTTTTCCTCTCTGATTCTTTAAAGGAGACAGATTCTAGTAGGAAGTGATTCATCATTCTCCAAAGCAAAACTTCTAGGAGAGCAAAGCTGAAGTAAAGATATTTTAGAGACAGCTCAGACAGTTCTACATTTTCTTTCTGCCTTGAAAGAAAAGAGGAGAACAGATTTCTTGCATAGTCTAGGATCTTCCTAGCTACAGCTAGTTTGGAGGAGGGGTAAGTGACAAGCACTTGTTAATTCCTGGTGATGGTTGAGTGGCCTAAAAATACTTGGGTGTCTAAGCACAGGATGTTGTCAGGAGTAAGTCCTCTGCTATCCATCTAGCTCATTCTTCTCAGCTCCTTGAGATGAAAGCCAAGCCTTATTGAATGTACCTTCGAAATATCCCTAAAAGGACACAGTGTTTTTACCTCTGGTAAAATTGAATACTGTTATGTTCAGGTATCCAGAATCCCAGAGCTCAATCAGGAATAGCAGAGGCAGACAGTCCAGTAAGCCACTCCTCCCGTTGAGTCCACTTGCAAGCTTTCAATGGCAACACCAGCCTCCTGACCCTAAATCAAATGTGCTGCATTACACTAGTTTCTTCAACTCATGCCAATACCTTAAGTGTAAAAAATTAGAGTTTTCTACCCAATTTTCAATAAACCTTCCTGCCTATAATAAGCAGGATGGTTTTCAGTTAATGCCCTGACCTGTACTTTTTATTTATTAGATGAAACATAAGCAGGCATATTCACTTACTTTTCTTTTTTCTTTCCTGAAGGTTTTATTAAAACTTCTCCCTTGGTTATCTATTATCTACTGCGCTTCCAACATGCAGCTAATAAATCTGTTTCATTGCCATCAAAGGAATAAAAAGCCCGCTGTACAAATTACATTTCAAAACAAACCCTAATAAATTCACATTTCTGCATGGCTCACTCACCTGGAATAATGCCTTTCATTCAATATGTTCTTATAGGGCAGAACACTTTCATAAGTGGCATTTTTTATGGTTTTGTCATATCGGTAACATGCAGCTTTTTCCTCTCGTAGCATTTTCAATAGCAAATGTAATATGCCTCTTATCTTCATGAAAATAAATATTGCTTTTGAACAAAACTACTCCATTATTTAGTACTCAATTGCAGTTTTAAAGGATGTACAGTGTTTCAAACTTGCTTTTACAAATACACAAAACTTTTAGAAATGACAGCTGTAGGGTGAATTCAAGGATTTGTTTGCTGAAGGTTGAGTGCACACCAATCTTAGTCCCATGGGTGGCTTCACTGCCCCCATCCCAAAGATGGACCAAGAGGAGGGAAGTAAGACTTGGGTTTGGTTTTCAGTTGCCAATGCTGTTGCTCCTGTGATGGACAATTTGTTTCTTCATTAGCTTTTTAAGGAGACATTTTCTACTGACTTTTCTCCCTTAAGAGAGTTTACAACCTCTGTCTTGGGTCCTAAAGTCAATTACATCACAGACTCATTTCCCTTAGGTCCATCTTTTCCCATGTAGACAGACAGCCCCACCAGTAGATCATGAGGACCAGGTGAGGGGCTACACTCCGACTGAATTGGCTTCTAACTTGTGAAGCTGAAGACAAAAGTTGCTCTTGTTTGTAGCGTGATTTTTGTCATCATCCTGCTGATGACAACTGCTTAGTGTTGGGTGAAACTGCTACTTTGGTTAGTGGTTTTAGACTGTCTGGGAAAAAGGAGTAAATATGTGTATTCTTTACTAAGCATCAGTTTTACCACAAGAAGTACCAGCTGATGTGTGAGTCAGAGTGGAGGGAAAGACAAAGAAAGGATCAAATAGTGTTGTGTGTAGTAATTCATATAACTTGGCTTTCTATGTAAAAAATCATTCTAGCCATGTATATAAACAGCATTTTAATATAAACATTAAAATTTTTATTTCCTGAAGTGTGCATGTGTCTGGTTTCATTCTAAGGAACTCAACAGATTTCCAAATGGTACATATATTTCTGGAGTCCTCTAATAGAACAGTAAATTAAAAATCACATCTTAGTGTTCACACCTGGAATACTCAGATGATACAATTTTATTGATTGACATTTCTGATCAGATATTCTAGAAGAGAGAATTATTTATAAATTCAGATACTGCTGTTTTTAAATATCAAATTAAAGACTATACAGATCGGCCCTGTCTGGTGGCACAGCGGGTTAATGCACTACAAAAGAAGCTTAAGCCACTTCTGCATGAGTTCAATCCCCGCCTGCCCCGGAGGTGACCGCATGGCACGGAAGACCTCTCCTGACCAGCCCACTGCTCCCCTCAGCAGTGCACTTCATTGATCTGTCTGTTCTGCTCCCCACTCTGTCCCTGGTGAATTCTCTCACCCTCCGCATCTCTGGCCTGTATCCCAGTTCTGTATGAATAAATAAATAAATCTTTAAAAAAAAGAAAAAAGACTATACAGATCATTAAAACTTAACGTGATACCCAGGAACATCTCCCAAATACAATAGCTAGCTATCAACAATGAAATAGCAGATTCAATATAATTCTTATCTAATTTTCTATGACATTCTTCAAAGAAGGAAATCAAGCATTACTGAAATTTATGTAGGCACACAAAAGACCCCAAATATTCAGAACAATTCTGATGAAAAAAATGGATGTATCACAGTCCCAGATTTGAAACTATACTATAAAACTATAGTAATCAAAACACTATGGTATTAGAATAAAAAGCCACCTGATGATTGAAATAGAATTAAAAGCCTATAAATAAGTCCATGATTAATTGATGACAAAGGAGCAAGCATATACATTGGAGAAAGGAAAGTCCCTTCATCCCTTCATCAAATGGTAGTGGGAAAATTGGACAGCCATATGCAAAAACAATGAAATTAGACCATTAGCTCACTCTATACATAAAAATTTAATCCATAATGAAAATAGATAAAAGATGTGGAGGTAAGACCTGAAACCATAAAACACAAAGAAGAAAAATACAGGCAAAACACTCCATGTATAGGTTCAGTGATGTCTTTGAGGAATGGACTCCAACTACAAGGTATATAAAGCAAATATAAACAAATGGAGATGTATCAAGCCAAAAGCTTCTGCACAGAAGAACTGGCAGTAAAATATAAAGCCTCCCTAAAAAAAAAAAAAAAGAAAAATGGTTGCACATCATAGATCAGATAAAAGGTTATTAACTAAAATAGACCAAAACGCATACAACAGTAAGAAAACAAAATGGGCAATAAAGAAAAGGGCATAGGATCTGAATAGACACTTCTCCAAAGAAGACATACAGATGGCCAAATAGACACATGAAAAAAATGCTCATCATCACTTATCTTCAGGAAAATAAAAATCAAACCCATAATAAGATACAACTTCACACCTGTAAGAATGGCCCTTATCAAAATACCATAAACACCAAATACTGGAGAGAATATGAAGGAAAAGGAGTTCTGTACTATCGGTGAGACATGTAGACTGGTCCAGTCGCTATGGAAGATATTAAAGAGATTCCTGAACACATTAAAAATAGATCTACCATACAAACCACAAATTCCAATCCTAGGAATGGACTGGAAGGGAAATATAATTTTGCCATTTGTGACTATGAATAAAACTGGATTATATTATACTAAGTGAAATAAGTAGAAGACAAATTCCAGATGATTTTACTCATTTATAGAATGTAAAGAAAAAAGAAGAGATGAAACTAAATCAAAACAAGTCCTAGAAAATTTATTGCAAAGCTGAGGCTACTATGTGATAAATAGAAGAAAAAGGGAGAAGGGTCACAACAGACCATGATGGAGGGCTGTGGGTGCCGTGAGGGTGGTGTAACGTGGTAACATATACCTGGTTTACAGTATTGTAGACCAGCATTATTACCTCCGTAAAAAAAAAAAAAAAAAAGCTGATAAAAGAACAGTGGTTAAGTAACCACTTAAGACCTTATGCTTGCTGTTCATGTTATAGCTCTGAATTTTGCAATTTAAATTGCATCTTTAAAAAATACATATTTTAGGGCCCTTCCTGGTAGCGCAGTGGGTTAAAGCACAGCACTAAGAAGCTTGAGCCACTTCCACATGAGTTCAATCCCTGCCTGCCCCAGAGGAGATCCACATGGCGTGGCAGACCTCTCCTGACCCGCCCGCTGCTCCCCTCAGCAGTGTACTTCCTCAATCTGCCTGTTCTGCTCCCCACTCTGTTCCTGGTAAATTCTCTCATGCTCCGCATCTTTGGCCGATAGCCCAGTTCTGTATGCATAAATAAAATAAATCTTAAAAAATATATACATATTTTATTTATGCATACAAGAGCTGGGTATAGGCTAGAGGTGCAGGGGGTGAGAGGATTCACCAGAGACAGAGTAGGGGATAGAACAGGCTATTGACTGAAATGCATTGCTGAGGGGAGCAGTGGGTGAGATAGGAGAGGTCTGCTAGGCCATATGGGTTAACTCCCTCACCAGAAATTGAACTTTGTGCTACAGTGGTTGCAGATAGCTTTATAGTGCTGAGACTTAACCCTTTGTGCCACCAAGGTGGCTCTAATTTGTATCTTTTTAAAATAAATTTCATTTCTATAGAGAACTCTAAAATTTCTTTAGATCACATTAAGAAATAGTGGAGATGAGCCCTTAATAAAGGTTAATGTACTCAATGCAGCAAGTAATGGACCAAGAAATCTTCATTTATTGAGAAACCATTTGACTTTCTAATTATTTTAAACGGTAGCGTACTGGATACCAGTTTTAATAGCCAGGTACCAAAAGTCAAAATCACTCTTGGATTCAATTTATATTTTACATGATATCAGTAATGCGAATTCTCTTTTAAGAACTAAAGTCTCTCGGTCATATTTTCTAATCTTTATCTTTGCTTGAGTCCTTAATCAAAATTCATTCTCCTCTGGTATGTTTTAGCCTCTTCTTTCTCCTTGTGCTTTTCACTTCCCTTTGCTTTCTCAGCTTCCTAGCAGCCTTCAATCAGAGAGAATGAGAATCATGTCTGCCTTGGAAGTACAGGAGGTGGGAGTCCTCTGAGGACATCGGAAAACAAAGGCACAGTTTCTCATGTGAGCAATTACTAGGGTCAAATTACCAACTGGTAAGCAATCACTGCTTTGAAAGTAGAACACATCAAGTGAAAAATTCCCATTATCATCCATTTTGGTTCACAGGATATGCAATGGTTATTATTGAGTTCTAGGAAAGGAAATTTAGCCATTGCCAATGAGGGGATAATCAACTAAATTAAGTGTTTTATTCACTCATTCATTCATTGAACAACAAGCTGGTTTTTTTTTTTTTAAGATTTATTTATTTATGCATACAGAACTGGGGTACAAGTAAGAGGTACAGGGGCGGTGAGAAGATTCACCAGAGACATAATGGGAATGGAACAAGGAGATAGATGAAGTACACTGCTGAGGGGAGCAGCAGGCGGGTCAGGAGAGGTCTGCTGTGCCATGTGGGTCACCTCTGGGGCCTGGTATCTAATTCACACTGAAGTGGCTACTCCTAGCTTGCAGTACTGCACTTTAGCCTGCTGCACCACCAAGGAGGGCCCTCAAGAATTGATTTTAAAGAATTGTCTTTGTCTGACATCTTGTTTGATTTCTATGTTCCACATGTAAGTGACACCAACCGGTATTTATCTTTCTCCTTTTGGCTTATTTCACTTGGCATAATCCTTCCAACTCAAAACATGTTACCACAAATGGCATGAGTCTACCTTTTTTGGTCACTGAGTAGTATTCCTTTGTGTTTATATAATACACCTAAATAAGAAGCTGTTTTAAAAGACATGTAGTAGGCATGCTGTGGGGTTCAAAATTCAAGACCCACAACAAATCATCATAGGGAAATAGGTTCTATGGGAAAGCAGAAAGAGTAACAGTCACCCAGCAAAAATGCATAAGGTAATGAGAACTTTTCAGAGAATACAATGAATCAGCAGAAAGAAAAAGAAACTATAGAGGAACACTGGGTGGTGTGTTGAACAGGTAGATGAGCAAAGGATGGTATCACATGTGAAATACAGAGAAACAAAACAGAGCCAGTAACAAGTCCTACAAATCTGACTGCAGAATTGAGGTTACCAGAGGGGGAGGAGAGGGTCCCTTAGGCTATGGTGAAGGATTATGGATGCCTTGGTGATAGTGGTGATCCCATAAGGATCCCAACAGGTGTGATCCTTTAATGCTAAAGCACACACAACATTGTTAACCACTGCTACCTCAATTTAAAGAAAAGACCTAAGATGGGTGCAGGGGGGGGGCGGGAATTGTATGGCTAGCAAAAGCATATCATCTTTTACATGTGGGAGGGAAAACCAGGGGGCTGACTGAACATAAAGAGAACTGCAAGTGCCATAAAGCACCAAAGAAAAAACTGACAAGGAATTGCAGCCCTATTTACAATAGCCAAGTTATGGAAACAACCATAACTTGTTTGCAACTCTCTTGACCTGTGTGTCCTCATTTACAAAATCAGATGGGCTAACATATTCTATAGGTTCTTTTCAATAAAAAAGTTCTCTGCATTTTTGCATTTTGGGTGTGCATTAGATGGCTCTTCAAGTTCCTAAGGGTGAAACAGAAACATGGATGTGGAACTCAGAACAAGAACGGTGTTGGTCCCTGTGGTTTTGCAAGCCGTGCCTTGCAAATCTCTAAGGGATGCTATTTGCACAGACTATGATTCCAGGAAGGGTCAACAAGAGGATTCAATGGACTTAATGACAGGGTGGGGAGAGGATAACAGGCTCGGGGTGTATGGAGGAAGGAGCCACGTGAGCTGGAATTTCAAGAGTTTTCTCCTGGGGAAACTAGGGAGGCTGGAAGGAGAGGAGAGTTTAATAAAGCCAGGACTGGCGATGCTGCCTGGGATCATCTTTATAGCGGCCAAGCTGAAACCACAAGAAGATAAAGGATAGAAATTGAAGAACATTCATAACCACAGATAAGAGAGAAGAGGAATTTGCAAGCACAAAAATAAGTATTGCAAAAACTGTAAATACAAAGGAATAGCTAAGTG